TTTGGAGACAGGATCTCACTGGTGTAGTCCTGGCTAGCCTGGAATTTGCTGGGTTGATGAGGCTAGCCCCAAACTCAGAGTTCTGCCTGCTTCTGTCTCCCAAGTGTTGGGATCAAAGCTGTGTGCTGGTTGATATTGGGTTTTTGAAGAGGCCATGGCAGCCATCACAGAGATCATTGCTGGCTCCATTCTCTAGATTCGTCTGCTTTCTTCTGGTCTGCATTGTTCTTTGTGTGCTGGAGACCTAAGGATGACCATGAGGGCACAGTATCTCTGGTTTGTCCAGGAAGCAGGACACGACTCCTTCATTTCCCCTATATCTTAAGGCTTTTCGCTTGGGAATGAAGAAGGCAGCACATGCCAGGGAAATGTGAGAAACAGGACCCTGATGGGGAAGTCCTGTGTATATGTCAATAAAGCACTGTTGGCCAATAGGGAAGCAAGATAAGTGGGACTCTGTCCAGGAGGACTCTGGGTAGGAGAAACACAGGGAGTCATCATGTAGCCCACCAGAGAAGTAAGATGTCCGTCCGGTAAGAGAAATACTTAGATGGGTTAAATACTTAAGTCAGAGCTAGCCAGTAAGAAACAAGCAAGGCCAACAGCTTCATAATTAATACAGCGTCTTGTGTGTTATTTGGGAACTACAACGCGGCACAGCCCAGGCGACTGGTGGGGAAAAACCAAAGTGGCTGGCAAGGAAAAGGCTTTTCTCTACAAGACCTTTCTGTGAATTCAGGACTCTGAGTGTGAGTGCAGACGGATGTGGTCATTTCACAACATCACTTGTCTTTATTTCTACGCATAGAGGTGTTATGTCTGAATGTATGTATGTGCCCCACAGTGTATGCCTGGTGTCCTTGGAGGCCAGAAGAGGGTGTGAGATCTCCCTGTGTTTGGAGTTCCCGTGTGGTAACAGGGAATTGAACATAGTTTCTCTGGAAGAACAGTCAGGGCTCTTAACCACTGAGCCATCTCTCCAGTCCCATTTGTCTGTTTCTTGAATAGCTAAAAAATAAATTTACTGATGGGCAAGAAATTTAGCTTGTGTCATGCCCAACCTGTAACCTGTGGGCCACATACAACCCAGGATAAACATGAATGGAACCCCACATGGAGGAGGGTCTAAGTCCTGACCCAAATGATATGACAGACTTTGATGATCCCCCATGGGAGGCCTCACCTTCCCTGAGGAATGGATGGGGGTGGAATGGGGGGAGGGTGGGAAGAATGGGAGGATGGGAGGGAGAAGGAACTGGGGTTGATATGTAAAATAAGATTATTTTTAATTTAAATAAAAATTAATTATAAAAATGCTAATTCTGGTGGGAATCAACCAGTGAGGAGGCATAGGTAATCTGTGGGGCCGTGGGTAGTATTTATCCCTGGCATACAAATGGACATTGGCTGCCCATCCCACAATGAGGGATGCTCTCTCAACCCTCCTCCATGTATCTAGGCTGAGAGAGTATCCCTCATAGGGAATCGGCTCCCAAAGCCCATTCATGCACTAGGGATAAATACTAGTTCCACTGCCAGAGGCCCCACAGACTGCCCAACTGACACCCACTTTCAGGGGATCTGGTTCGGTCTTATGCAGGTTCCCCAACTGCTAGTCTGGAGTTTGTGAACTCACACTTGCTCAGGTCAGCTGTTTCTGTGGGTTTCCCCAGCATGGTCTTGACCCCTTTGTTCATCACTGCTCCCTCTCTACCACTGGATTCCAGGAGTTCTGCTCAGTGCTTAGCTATGAATCTCTGTTTCTGCTTCCATCAAGTGTTGGATGAAGGCTCTAGGATGGCATATAAGGTAGTCATCAATCTTATTATAGGGGAAGGGCATTTAAGATAACCTCTCCACTATTGCTTAGATTCTTAGTTGGGGGTCTTCCTTGTGGATTCCTGGACAATTTCCCTAGTGCCAGGTTTCTCCTTAAGCCCATAATGGCTCCTTCTATTAAGGTATCTTCTTTCCTTGCTCTTCTTCTCTCTTCTTCCCCCAACTCGACCTTCCTGATCCCTCTTATTCTCCCCCCTACCCCTTCTCCCCTCCTCTTTCTCCTACCCCTTCCCCAATTTACTTAGGAGATCTTGTCCCTTTCCCCTTCTGGGGGGGTGCATGGATGTCTGCTTTAGGGTCTTCCTTGTTTCCTAGCTTCTCTGGGGTTGTGGACTGCAGGCTGGTCATCCTTTGCTCTATGTTTAATATCTACTTACGATTGAGTACATACCATGTTATTCCTTCTATGTCTGGGTTACCTCTCTCAGGACAGTTTCTTCTAGTTCCATTCATTTGGCTGGGAATTTCAAGATGTTATTGTTTCTTATTTTTTTGTTTTTTGTTTTTCCAATAAGCAGTACTCCATTGTGTAAGTACACTGCAATTTTTTTTGTCCATTCTTTGGTTGAGGGGCATCTAGGTTGCTTCCAGGTTCTGGTTATTACAAATAATGCTGCTATGAACATAGTTGAACAGATGTCCTCATGTTATGAAGGTGCATCCTTTGGGTATATACCTAAGAGTGAAATTGCTAGATCTTGAGGTAGACTGATTCCCATTTTCCTGAGAAACTGCCATACTGATTTCCAAAGTGACTGTACAAGTTTGCATTCCCACTAGCAATGGCAGATTAACATTTTAAATATTTATGATGTATACAGTGTTCTATCTGCATATATGCCTGTAGCCAGAAGAGGGCACCAGATCTCATTACATATGGTTATGAACCACCATGTGGTTGCTGGGAATTGACCTTAGGACCTCCAGAAGAGCAGGCAGTGCTCTTAACTACTGAACCATCTCTCCAGCCCCAAGGGAAAGGCAGCCAGATGGTGGTGGTGCACACCTTTAATCCCAGCACTCAAGAGGCAGAGGCAGGTGGATCTCTGTGAGTTTGAGGTCAGTCTGGTCTACAGAGGAGTTATAGGACAGCCAGGACTACAAAGAGAAACCCTGTCTCAGAAAACCAAAGTAGTATCTTCATGAGTACACAAGTTATTAGTAGAATGCCCATGTCTTTTTGTGGTCACCAGACACTATGGGGGGAAATTGGGGTCCCCTCTTGGGATTCATTTTTTATTTTAATTTTAAATAGCTTGTTTTACATGTCAATCCCAGTTCCCTCTCCCTCCCCTCCTCCTGCACCCCCCTATCCCCCCCCCATCCTCCCACCCTATTGCCAATTGCATAGGGGATATCTAGAGTCTGTCATTTCACTCAGGGTTGGGTCCAGGCGCTTCCCTAAGAGTCCAGACAGGGAGAGCAACCCTCTTTGTGTTATGGACACACGATGTCTGTTAGTATTCGAGGGATAAACACTGATCCACTGCTCAGGACCCCATAGGTAGCCCAGGCCTCCTCACTGACTCTCACATTCAGGGGGTCTGGATCAGTCCCATGCTGGTTTCCCAGCTGCTGGTCTGGGGTCCAAGAGCTCGACCCTGTTCAGATCAGCTGTCTCTGCTGGTTTTGCCAGCCCATTCTTTGCCAATTTGCTCATCGGTCCTCTCTCTCTGTCGCTGGGTTCATTGGGTTCTGTTTAGTGTTTAACTGTGGGTGTTTGCCTCTGCTTCCATCAGTCACTGGATGAAGGCTCCAGGATGGTTATAGACATCAAGTTCATTATCAGGAATGATCATTCGAGGTGGTCTCTACACTATTGCTTAGCTTGCCAATAGGTGTCATCCCTTTAGATCACTAGAGGTCACAATGGTGCCTGATCTGTCTTCTAACCTCTTCCCCCTGTCCTACCCCCCCCCAGTCAACCTTCCTGTTCTTCCATGACCTACTCTCTCTTCCACTTCTCACCCTCTCTATTTCCCAGGTCCCCCTCCCCCCTCCCCCTCGCTGTGTTCCCCATCTGTTCAGAGGATCTTGCCTCATTTCTCTTCTCTTGGGTACCATACATATCTTTTAGGTTCTTTCCTATTTCCCAGATTCTCTGTCAGTGGAAGTGTAGACTGACACTCTCCTGATCCATGTCTAAAATCCATATATGAGTGAGTACATACCATGTTTGTCTTTTTGTGACTGGGTTACCTCACTCAGGATGGTTTCTTCCAGTGCTATTCATTTACCTGCGAATTTCAAGATTCCACTGTTTTTTTTTCTGCTGAGTAATACTCTATTGTGTAAATGTACCACATTTTCTCTATCCACTGTTCAGTTGAGGGGCATCTAGGTTGCTTCCAGGTCTGGCTATTACAAATAATGCTGCAATGAACATAGTGGAACAGATGCCCTTGTTGTATGAATTTGCCTCATTTGGATATATGCCTAAGAGTGGAATTGCTGGGTCTTGTGGTAGATTGATTCCCATTTTCCTGAGGAATCTCCATACTGCTTTCCAAAGTGGCTGTACGAGTTGGCACTCCCACCAGCAGTGGAGGAGTGTTCCCCTCTCTCCACATCCTCTCCAGCATAAATTGCCTTCGGTTTTTTTTTTTTTTTTTGGTTTTTACGAGACAGGATTTCTCTGTATTGTTTTGGAGGCTATCAGTCCAGCCTGGCCTCGAACTCACAGAGATCCACCTGCCTCTGCCTCCCGAGTGCTGGGATTAAAGGCTGAGTGGAGCCTAAATGAGTTCCCCCACAGCCCCATGGGCACTGTGTGCTTATGATCAACATAGCTCTCTGGAGTAACTTACCGTACTAAGACCGCAGATATCATACCGAGTCAGTGTGTTTTACTCAACCATGAAACCAGGGCACCTACCACCAGCAGCAGAACTAGACCTGTTGTTCACTGAAGCATTATATCAACTGCCCAGTGCTCATGCACCACAGTCTAGAGAGCAAATTTTTGTGTGCATTGTTGTGTCTAGATGAAAAAGGATTGAATTCCACAACTAAACCATTTCTCAGTTGTGTCATGGGCTAAGATGAACTCATTTCTAACAGTGGAAGCCTAGAAGGTGGATTGACAAGGGCAGCTATGCTTCTGGGTGTAGGAAGCGACATTAATGCTTTTATGAACATGGTTCAAGATCTAGAAAAGGGAACATGGAGAAACTTTTCATTTTATTAAAGCTCTTAAATGACTAGGATATGACTGGATAGCTCCAGGCAACTTTACAAGCATGCATAACGTGGCCAACATGAGAAAGAAAAGACTTGGTGAGACATTCTGTGATTACAATTCCAATTAAGAAGTAACGTTGACTCTCAGGAGATGAAGTGTGTCCTTGATGAGCCTCCTCTTGCACCTGGTGATGTAGACAGCCTCTGAGCTTGGCATGGAGAAGAAAATTCTGATCTGTTTCATGATGAGAACGGAGAGGTTCAATGACCGGAAGCAGCAATTTGTGCACAGCTGGATGCCTCATGCACGCCCTCTTGCCCTGCTCATTAGAAGAAAATGATTGCCACACAGTCTCACCATTTGGAAGTGATGAGTCCAAAGGAACAATTAAGCAGAAAGCAAGATGATTCTGGTCAAGGAAAACCCACAGAAACAATTGTGCCAGCCCTCGAATCCTCAGCAATGGTTCAAGGACAACTAATCCTAGACCAAGAGCTATGTGAAGAAGTAATGCAGATGGCATCTGAGGTTGCAGGGCTTGGGCTTGTGCTATTCAAATTTAAATGAGCTGTGGTTAACTTAGAAGAGACCATCACCATGTGCCCTCAAGCAGAAGGTGGCTCAAAGACCGTGGAGACTGTTTGGTCAAAAGTCTGCAAGGACATTCTTGCCAAAACAATGATATCCTCCAGTGAGAAGGTCACCTACAAGCAGATCAAAGCCTCACATACAAAGATAGATTCAATTCTTCACCATGTTAAAGACATAAAAGGTGCCAACACTGACTTTGCCTGTGTGGGAGCAAAAGCACCCCAGGCTCGAGTCAGCCTGGCTCTTGCTCCAAGCTTGTGCCTCCATCAGCAAAGAGGAAATCACCAGAGCCCAAGGAGACAAGAGAAACTGCTCTGCTTCCAACAGCCAAGGGAAGCTGTCCCAACTTTCTCTGTCAGCTTGGCATAGTGCAACCGAAATAATAAGATTCAGCACCAATCCCTTGCTTGTGTTCTAAACTAAGGGGGGGACAAGAAACAAGTCCCACCAGAGACCTCCTCCACACCCTTGGTTTTGTGTTGCACATGGTTCTCCAGAATCTCAGTGGTTCAACAGAGCCCCAGAAGATCAACGCCTTTCATGAACAGTACAAAAGAACTCAGAATTGGCTTCAGAAAGCGCTCCCAAGTTGACGAGGCCTGTTGTCCTGGAAGTGATGCAGTGGTCCAGATGGTTCAACACAGTGGCTCAGAGGACTCTGGAAGACAAGGCCAAGTCACAAATGGAAGTCACTCAAATGGTTAAAAAGACTCCTTCCCCACCCCAGGAAAGGGAGACAAAGACTGGGTTGTACTTGATGAGGGAGAAACTGACCGAGTCAATTTCTTCAGAGTCCAAAACACAGTTCATATCTCTGCTTCACCAAACAGAAAGAAAAGCCAGATGATGCCAGCTAGTGTGCGAGGAGTCGTCCCTGGAACAAAACGACTTTGGAATCTCTTCTGTATCCCGGGTCAACTTGCTGCTGGTGACTGACACTAACCCACATGGGTGCTTTTTCTTCTGGTCATCACTTGCCAAAATTGTTACCAGAGTTTCTGTAGTCAGACTGTGGGCCCTGGATGCTGTGACAAGCTGTGCTCAGAGCCTGTCCTCAAAAGACTAATTCAACAGACAGGTAAGCCGGGAGGTGGTGGCGCACACCTTTAATCCCAGCACTCGGGAGTCAGAGGTAGGCAGATCTCTGTGAGTTAGAAGCTAGCCTGGTCTACAAAGCTACACAGGGAAACCCTGTCTCAAAATATCCAGAGAGACAGAGAGAGAGAGAGAGAGGAGAGAGAGAGAGGCAGCAGTGAAGAGGAACAAGAAAATGTGGTAAGGGCCTTCCAGAGCAACAGGAAGGTGATGTGTCCTAATTAGTAGCCATGACTATGTATGATTCTGTCTGCACCCTGTAGCACAGTTGACTGAGTCAGAATGTACGCTACAATAGAAAGGAGACAAAAAGCCCATACGGAAAGGAAAATGGATGAAGGGTGTAGAGGCTGCTCTGCTGTGCTGGGCCTTTGGCCTCCATGTCTCATCTCTTTACATGAGAACTCCACAACAAAAATAGGAAGCAAGAGGTAAACAGAGTTAAGCAGTCCAGAGCGGGTGTGGTCATCTCCATCACTGACCACATGTCTATCTCTGTTATGGTTCCTCTTACAAGGGTGTCTGAAAAGTTGTCAAAATGGTGTGAATCTGTTTCCTGGAAACAAATTTCTGCTTCTTGTTGGCACCAGGACTCCAGTCTTTTTCTTCTCTCAGTGTTCCAGGAGAGTAGGAACTTAAAAAAAATCTAAGTCAAGAAGAACATTCAAAAGAAACTCCTTTGCGCCGGGCGGAGAGGCAGAGGCAGGTGGATCTCTGTGAGTTCGAGGCCGGGCTGGACCCACAGCCTCCAAAACAATACAGAGAAACCCTGTCTTGTAAAACCAAAAAAAAAAAAAAAAAAAAAAAGAAACTCCTTTGCAGAGTACTGGCAGCGTTGGACAGAGCATGCATGAAAACAAACGCCCAGCAATGTAAACAGCAACCGAGGGGCTGTGCAAAGGTAGGGGTTGGGGGTGGATAGCGACTGTATAATGCGTGGCCAGTTGCCGTGGGGGCTTGTTCCTCAGCTCACGAGCTCACACCCACTCTTGGGTGTGACCTTTTCTTTCTTTACAAGTTATTTATATTCCATGTCTAGCTTGAAAGCCATGACTTTTCCTGGCAGCTGCTGGGATTTTCAATTGAGCTGAACTGTTTTTCTCTTAATCGCTAATAAAACTTGTCTTTGGGTTTCATTTTGAGCCCATTTCTAAATTCTTTTAATAATAAGACTAAAAATCCCCAAAGGGAACCTGTTTCCCTAGTAACGACAACTCAAGATTCTGGGGGAAATTCCAGTTTCTTGGGGACCACTTTCAATAGTTTGATAGCTATTGAAAGGGAGGGACACAAGTGTCTTTAGAATATCTCTATTCCCTTACGGAATAAAGATAACCCATGAAAGAGAAGGGTTGGATACTGGAGAGGAGAAAAAAGCTTCTAAAGATGGGGGTAGGCTAGCTTTGTGATAAACCCATTTAATCCCAGCACTCTGGAGGCAGAGGCAGGAGGACCTTGAGTTCAAGGCCACCCTGCTTCACACAGAGAGCTCCAGGACAGCTAGGGCTATATGGAGCAAGCCTGTCTCAAATTAAAAATAAAAATAAGGAGAGGAGGCTTCTGACGTTGACAGAAGGGGTCGTAGGACAGTTACAAAAAGATGACGTAATGAGAAGAAGAAGGGTGAGGTGAACCCAGTGCCACTGGTGGCTTCTCCCTCAGGATGGGTCAGAAGTGGGGTTCCCCCATCTCAGAGGGCTGTGGTTTGTGGCTGTCTGGAGAGGGAACCTCAAGCTAAGCTAGCCTGAGGGAGTGAGCACAGCATGTCAGAGCTCCAGTGTGAGAGACTGAGTTAGGAGGCTCAGGAATGAACTATATAGGGAAAGGCAGCCCTACCTTTGTGTCTGGGAGCAGACTTCATCAACTGAGTATCACTGGAGTTTGGTGCCATTGACTCTGATACCAGTAGGTATCCAAACCAATAGATGCACAAATTGCAATATGGGGAGATTTAAAATCACAGAACAAAAGACATGGAAAAAGCAAGTGTCTTAATTTGCTTTTTGTCATTGTGACAAAAACTTGCCCAAAAGCAACTTGGGGAGGAGAAGGGTTTTCTGTGATTGTGGGGTGGGTGGCAGAATGATAGCTGAGTTCCTTCTGGGAGACAGGCAAAGAGCTGACTGTCCAGTTCAGAGAAAGCAAGAGTGACAAGCTGTACCGAGGCAAACAGACCGCTCCCTTTAGGACGGGAGAGGCCCCACAGTAGGGAACCTGCCAGGTAGGCCCTGGGTTGGGTGTTTTATAAGGCCCCTGAGGATTTCTATCCCGCCTATCCATCCATCCAGGTACCTACCCCTGGGGAAGACTTTTCCTTCCCACTGTTTTTCTGTCACAACGTTTCCTGGAAAGAAGGAACAGCCATCTTGAGAAACCAGCCCCAGCTGAGTGTGGTGAATGTCTTCAATCCTAGGCAGAGGCAGACGAATCTCTGGGTTTGAAGTCAGCCTGACCTACTTTGTGAGTTCTAGGACTGGCAGGGCTATAGAGAGAAGCCCTGTATTGAAAACAAACAAAACAACAACAAAAAAGGAGCCAGCCCCTGCTTTTCCTATCTGCCTGCCTCCTCCCTTATCCTCACCCCCCTCACTGAGAGAAGCCAAGGTAGGAACCCGGAGGCAAGAACCGAAGCAGAGACCAGGGAGGAGTGCTCCTTTCCCCAGCTTGTTCCGCTACCTTCTTCAATGTGCTGCCTGTCTGCCTACAGAGAGGGACATGGCCGCAGTTGCCTGGCCCCTTCCACATTAATCAGCAAATTAGAGTAGTGCTCCACATACATGTCCTCAGGCCAATCCAAGCGACACAGTTCCTCAACTGAGGGGTCCCTCTTCTCAGGGTCAATCTGACAAACACCAACTAGCACAGCAAGGTGACATGAATCTCCCGAAAACTCATGACCTCAGTTCCCAAATTCAAAGGTACTGGGTCAGACAAAATGTAAGCTTGACACTCCTCCAAATCTTGTCTTTACTAGTAAGAAATGCAGGTGGCAAGAATCAATAAAAATCAGGGCAGAAATTAATGAAAACTAAAAAAAAAAAAAGAAAGAAAGAAAACTGTTTACAAACATTAGCTCTTTGGAATAAAGCTAATCCAGACCCACAGGTTCCTTAGCCAGTATAACCAAAGAAGAGAAGACTCAAGTTTATAAAATCAGAGGGTAAAAGGGGTTTACAGCAGGTCCCAGTGAAATCCATTATGGGAGAAGACTTTGGAAACATACATTCCAGGGAATTGGAGAAAAAAAAACCAGAAAAAATCTAGAAGTGGATAGTTTCCAAGGTACACATGGCTTACCAAAATTAGTTCAAGCGTATACCAACAAATTAAGCGGTTCCCTGAGAAGCAGCAAGCTGGACACCGAAGCAACCGTGAGATCTCCCAATGGAGAGAAGCCCAGGCCCAGAGAGAGTCGCTGCTCACTTTCTATTAGGTCTTGGGTGAACAACTAACATCAGTGTTCTTCAAACGATTCAGAAAACAGAAAGGGAAGGGGGTTTCTGTAACAGCAATGGATGAGGACACACCAACAAAAGAAAACTACAGACCAGTTTCCTGATGAATGTGGACAGAAAAAGTCTCAACCAAATGGAAACCAAATTCAAGAATGTACTAAGAAATTTGTACACCAGTCCAAGTTGGTCTCATTCCAGATGCAAGGATGGTTCAATATTTGCAGATCAATCAATGTAACTAAACAGTTAAGGACAGAAATCATCTCATCGTCTCAAAAGATGTAGAAAAGGCCTTTGGTAAAGTTCAACAACCCTTCAAGATAAAAGCCCCAAAGAAGCTGGGAATAGACAGAACATATGCCAGCATAACAGAGGCTATTATGACAATGTTTTATTATTTTGTTATGTAGCCAACATTACATTAAACAGATGCTCTAAAATCAGGAACAGCAGGTTGGGGAGATGGCTCAGTGGTTAAGAGCACTGGCTGCTCTTCCAGAGGTCCTGGACTCAATTCCCAGCACCTGCATGGTGCTGTAACCATCTGCAACTCCGGCCCCAGGGAATCAAATTTGCCTCTTCTGGCCTTTGTGAGCATTGTACACACGTGGTCCATAAACATGCTTGCAAGCTAAACATCCATAAGCATAAAAATAAAGATTAAAAAAATCAGGAACAAGACAAAGTACTGTTGTGTTTTGTCAGTATAGCTTCTGTTACAAGCTTCATAGCTGTCAGTGAGGCCTTAATAAAGTAAAGCCTGGCTTTAAGAAGTGGGTCACTGGGGCTGTTTACAACCTCTTCGGGTCCTGTCTTATGTCCACGGCCTTCTCCATTCAGTTGTGAGCAAGTTGCCTGTCTACACTCTTGCAGCCACAGCTGAGACCATGCTTTCCCTGCCTTTAAACAGTGAGCCCCAACAATCTCTTCCTCCTCTAAGTGGCTTCCTGCTGGTCATTTGGCCACAGCAATTCAGAAAGTAGTTCAGGTGGGTCCTCTCTTAGCTCTTAGTTCTAACTAGAGCAATAAGAGAAACAAAGGAGACACACATGGGATAGGGAGACGGGATATGTTCTCTGTGTGCAGATGACATGATCTTATACTTAAACAATCTGAAAAGAGTCCATGAGAAAACTTAGACTGCCTGGACACTTTCAACAAAACAGGATTTAGAATCAATGTACAAAAATCAATAGCTTTTTTTGTACAGCAATGATCAACTCACACAAGAGGAAACCTGTCCACAGTAGTTAAATTGTTTAAATGGTTAAAAATTAAAGACAAGGATAAGCCTAACCAAAGATGTGAATGACCTCTATAAAAAAACCAGAACCCTGAAGAGAAAGACACTAAAAGATGGAAAGACCCTCTCTCATGTTCATTCTCTGCAGTGTTCTACAAAGTAGTCTGCAGATTCAATGCAACTTCCATCAAAATTCTAGCATTCCTTAGAGGTAGAAAACAACAGCAAAACCCCTAAAAAAACAAAAACATTCTAAAATGACCTGAAGTACCAAAGACCCTGAGTAGTCAAAGTTGTGTGAAGAACTAAGAGCAGTGCTGGAGGGGGTCACAATAGCTACC